TCAAAACATCTGATTGACTATACCTACATACCGCTCGGATAATTTTGGGTGGCTGGCACTTACCTAGTGAATAAAGGGAGTATTACTTCAAAACTCATCTTGTGTTATAACACAAAATTCTCTAATGTTTTCTCAGTTCTAATTAACACTTGAGGAACTTGAATCCAAAAAAGCAATGTCGACAACAACTCCATAGAGGTCTGGTTGTCATAATAGTATGCAATGCTCCCACATCATTATTCTTGATTCGAAGCTTAATTCATATAAAGCTCTAGAGGTGGTCTTTGCCTAATAGCAACAAGCTTCGTGAAAGGAACAACACAAATCACCTCAGCAATGAGTCTAAGCGGCTACTCCCGTGAAGCCATTGACAAGATCTGCTAAGTTCTAGCAAAAGATGAGGCCTATCAAAGGTGACAATCTGACCACTCAACCAAGACCTTCAAAAGTGTAAGACGAGAGTTGTGCGACAATACCATAAAATAATAAATGTGACCGACAACGATGGCTATAAATGTTCTATCGACATCCTAATAACAAATCTGACGCTACAGTGAGTCTCGGGGTTTACCCCCGTGAAGGTAGTAATAATATTCACCTAAGTTCTAGCAAGAGATGTGGGTTGACCAAAGTGACAAATATAACTGAGCAAAAGAGACAAGCAGTGTACAACTTGTGCTTAGCAGTGACATATCAAATAATGAACAATCATCTTTCTGAAAAGAAGAAGGAGAAAAATAACCAAAAACTTCACTCTATTTCATATTCGAGAAATTTACAGAACATTTTTATGTGTTTTTTTCATGTAAAAAGAAAAAAAAAATGTTGTCAAAGTGACTAATGAGGTTGAATGAAGATCAGTCAGCTGATTGAAAGTTAGTTAGACGACCGAATGTCAATCAAACGACCAAAGATCAGCCCAATGGGCCGAAGATCGATTGAGCCAATCGAAATCCTTAGGAGACCAGCTTAAATCTATAAAGACCAAGCTCAAAAAGAAGTTGAAACTGAGGAAACATCATTGGTGACTAATAAGTAAATATGTTCACGTTTTTGCCTTAAAAATTTGTCATTCTTATTGCAATTTTACCTCAAATAAATAAGAAAATTAGGGAATTTAATATGTACACTAAAAATGTGCACTGTTGATCCTAAAGAGAGCTAACAATATTGAAGGTTGATCAGCTGACCAAAGGGATGCCAAACGATCAAAGTTCTGCCAGTGAAAGGATTGTAGACAACCAAAGGTCTGTCCGATGACCAAATGATAGCCATACAACCAAAATGACACGATACGAGTCAGACAACCGAAAGACCATCCAGACGGACCAAAATTGGGCATCTAGGCCAACGATCGAACAAAGCTTTAATTACCCCCGTAATCTCGCAAGTATCAACGTGAGACTCTCTCAACAACTCCCTCAATGATCTCCAGAAATGACCAAGGAACAAACAAGCTGACTGACTGCCGCTCTTAAAGCCAACCGGCTTCCCAGAGCGAAGGCCGACCGATACCTGGACAAGATAGCATACCGACTTGAGGACCCACTAATCAAAAAGACTGGGAACACATAAATATGCCAAAATTAGTTAGAAATAAGAAAAGTCACTACAAAAGATAAATAAATGCCTATTAAAGCATAGGCAGGCATGTAATTTTCTACCTTTGGCCTTCTATCTTCTATAAACAGGGGTGTGATATCATGTATTAGGGGACTTTTGGCTTTCCTCTCTAGACCCATACTTTGTTAGGAGATCTCTCTCCTATTTTCTCTTGTAACCACTCTGTTACAATATATAAAATGGGTCACACGGAATGAGAATATCTCAGTTCACCCCTGCGGAGTAAGTCAATGTGTGCACTTTTATTTCTTTCTCTCTCTCTCTCTCTACTTCCCCCTTAAGATTCTTATCGCTCCAATCTTTGAGCAAGTCTCAAAGGGCAAATCTAGATTCATCGGGATGCAAATCCTATTAACATTCCTATAAAATCTATTAACAATCTCAAAGATTCTCTAGAAAAAATGATTATAGGAAGAAATTTCATGAAGGACTTGTACTTAGACTAATTATGTTATGATATAATATACTATATTATTGATGATGCTAGTGTTATAAGTCAACCAATGCACATCCCAAAGATTTTTAATTTAATCATAATTGAAAGAAACTCATGTGAAATTCTATTTAAAAGGGGAGCTCGTGGGACAGGGGCGGGTGATCTAACACTGAAAGCCAATATAGATGATAATTGTGTGAGATCAATGGTTCATTATTGGTCAATTGAGAATATTGCACATTCTTAGAAGATAATCACTTGACTTGGAAAAATAAATAAAATAAGATAAGATAAAATAAGAAAGGATGGCAAGATCTAGTGTCAAATTTTGATGTATGCCATTACAAATCTACAAACTATTACGAATGAAATTTAATTTGAAGACTTGAAGGCTAAATGGGATCTTATACTTTTCTATTATGATAGCTAATTAGCCAACAATATCACACATTATCACATGCAACACTATCAAGTAAAATATATTGACATATATAAGCTTTTACTGAACAGAAAAGCTCGATAAGTACTTTAACATACATGATGTGAATGAAAAACATTTACTCATTCATTTGAAGGTGCATGTGAAAAAATCATTTTTCTTAACTATTTTGCTTCCATCAATGTTTCATTAAGCAAATAGTCTTTCATATATATAATTTATTTTGATTTACTTCATATTATCTCAATAATTAATAAAATTATTATTATCATTCATCAAATTGCGGACTATTACAACTATTCTACAATTATTATTATTGTTTGATATTACAAATTCTCTTTTAAAGAATGTTCTAAGTTTATGGGAAGAAATACAACTAAATCTCTTCATTTCTTTGGCAATATATATATATATATATATATATATAAAGGAATTCAAATTGTAGGAGTAGGTTTTGGGTTTCATTCTTGATAAGAATGTTAGGAAAAACTCTCATTTCTCTGATTTAATGGATAAGATTAGAACTCGGCTTCTTTCTTGGAAAAACTCTCACTTCTTTTTGGTTGATAACAATTGGAATTTACCAAAGTTGTTTAATATGGTACAGTATAATGTTGCTTCTTTTATTTCTCATATACATTATTGGTGATATGAAAGACATTCCTAAGGTTAAAGGTTAGATTGGTGATTCTATTGCCCAAACTTTTGCTAGAATGGAGCAGAATTTTCAGGGCTTGGATCTTTCCTGGAACTGGAATAAATGGGTGAAGCCATCTATATCATTTTTTATTTGGAGGGTCTTTCATGAGTTTCTCCCTGTTGATAATATACTCAAATTTAAGGGCTTACAGTTGGCCTCTAAGTGTTATCATTGCAATAATGATGATGAAACTCTCACAAATCTTTTTATTTCCTGTAGTTTTGCTGGTAATATTTGGAAAAGTACTTTTGAACTCAGTGGTAGAATGGATGTTTATAATGATTATAATACCATTACTGAAATCTTTGAGGATTGGAAACGTAAAGGACATGATTTCTTAACTAACCTTCCTTCTATTGTGCTTTTGTTTATTTGGGCTTCTAGGAACTGTTAAGCATAATGGTGAGGTTTTTACTATCATGAAGACTTTTGCGATGATCTGCTCCTATATTTATAAAAGTCTTTCTATAAATAATTTAAAAGAGAATACTAATAGATATATGATTTATGTTGCTATTAATCTTTCTATTTCCTTTAATACAGTTGCTAGTTCTTATTGCAATAAAAGGTGGATCAAACCTTTTGCTCCTTTTCTTAAAATTAATTCTGATGGCAGTTGGAAAATGAACTGTTCGGGAGTCGGTGGAGTTTGTAGGGACTAGAATGGTGTTGTTTTATAATGGTTTGTTGCCATTGCTTTACCTGTTTCTTCGATTGTGGTTGAGGCTGATGCTATTGTTTTTTCTTTGATGCTTGCGAGAAAAATGAGATGGAATATTATTATTTTGAAAATGAATTCTATTACTCTTTGGAAAGTGTGCAGATCTGATATGGTGTGCCATTGGAGTGTGAACTTGCAGGTTAAGAAGATCAAATCCATGACCAAAGATCTTAATATCTATTGGTCTCATATTAAGAGAAATGGAAATGAAGTTGTTGATTGGGTGGCTAAGCGAGGATCTCTTCTGAGTGCTCCCTTTATTTTTAATATTTTACCTGATGATCTTAATCGTTTAGTAATGTTGGATATCTAGTTTATGGTGTGTTTAGTGGGTGTATTGAGTTGTATTTTTTTTTTTTTGGAAAGAGGACCCTTTATCTTTTTCTTTGCAGTGTGTGTGTGAGAGACCTCTTTCCTTTTGTAATTTTCTTTTTATGAAATAAAATGAGAACCTGTGCTCTTTATTATATATATATATATATATATATTCTAAATACTATAATATTCATTTTATGGGAAAAAAATCACTTACAATTTAGTTAACATTCAATGTTACTACTTTGAAATGCAATATCAAGAATAAAAACTAAAACAAAGAGATAATTTATAATTACATAACTAAAAATTTTATTTACACATATTTTTTTATAAATTAGATAATTTTCTTATTTATGTTTAAAAATTTTATATTATTTTGAGACTTTAAATTAAAAAAAAAATTAATAATTAATTTATCTCATTATTAGACAATCATTTATATACTATACATGATTAAATTATTTAGAAATCATTAAAAAACCTAATCATTCTAATTTATGTGATGCAATGAAGGTGAGAATCTTGCTTTATTCGTTGGAAGTTATTTGAATGAGAAATAAATTAAAATTAATTTTTTTAGGAAAATATATAATCAAGATTTCTTATAATTCATGAGCTTCAATCAATATTTTTAGCTCATTAGCTTTTTAGACATTTTTTTACTTTGCATATTTAGTTTAATTTTAATTTAATGCATTTATGAAATACATATTTTAAATATATATTTTAAATTACAAATAAACAAAATGTAATGAAAGCGGAAGCCTAAAAACCTTGCATAAAACCCTAACGCCGTCGCCGAACTGCGAGAGAGAGAGAGAGAGATCAGCTTCCTCTCTCGCGCCTCCTGGCAATCTCATTGATCTAGGGTTTCTTCGCACCTTATTAGGGGAAAAATGCGCCCGCCGAGCTCGGGTCGTGGAAGCTTTAGAGGCGGGTTCCGTGGCGGGAGGGGCGGCGGCGGCGACCGCGGTGGCCGGGGCCGTGGTGGTTTTGGTTTCCGAGATGAAGGACCGCCTTCGGAGGTCGTTGGTCAGTCTACGACATCTATTTGAGTTTTTTTTCCCAATTTGTTTCATTATGTTCGATCCAAGTGGTTCTAATTCACGATTTCTCCAGAGGTTTCATCTTTTCTACATGCTTGTGAGGGTGATGCTATTACTAAACTCACAAATGAGAAGGTACCTTTCTTCAATGCCCCTATATATCTTCAAAACAAGACGCAGATCGGAAAGGTTGATGAGATCTTCGGGCCCATTAACGAGTCGGTGAGCTTTGATTGTTTGCATCGTCATTTATTTTTTTGAGCTGTTGGAATCTGCTGCAATTAAATTGTCGGATGGTGCAGTGTTTGTGTTGATAGATTTGTTTGTTGCACTGCAGTACTTCTCAATTAAGATGATGGAAGGGATTATAGCGACTTCATATTCACTCGGAGAAAAGTTTTATATTGACCCTGCTAAGTTGTTGCCCCTTTCCCGTTTTCTTTCGCAACCAAAGTATGTTTCTAGGCCTTTTTCTACCCCTTTTTTTACTTTTAATAATTATTTTCTTCCGATAAAGTTGCTATCAGCTTTTCATCATTTCTTCTTACTTGTGGCTTAAGGTTTCATTTGCTATTTATCTATCTTGTCTCTAAAGATTCGAGTTTTGAAATGGGTGGAGGAGAGGCTTAAATGAGGAATGAAAGGCTTTTTTCTGAAGCTCTCAAAAATCAAGTTTTTGTTCAAGAGTATGGCATACAATAACATTTTGAGAAAGTTTAATGTAGCAGGGGCTAGGAAAAATTTCAACAGTATTTTGAGTCAAATTCTTATGCTTTAAATTTTTGAGTGAGTCGCATGGGAATGATTTAGTTGGAGAGAGAGTTTGTGTCTATGTTGAAGTTATTATAGATATTTATTTATTAATCTTAACCTATAGAAGAAGTTAAAATGGTAAAAAATAGATTTTGGTGATTTGATTTTATAATGGAGAACAAAATATGTCATGCAAGAATATGATAAGTGGAGAGGATTAAGGTGAAAGGATTAAGAAGGAAACTGGTTGATCCAAATTAATGACTAGAAATTATATAAAATGACTTGTAAAATTGAGTAAACACTTCATGTAGTATTTAGCAAGAATGAATGGATCAAGAACATTCTTAGAGTAGTTCCAATTTTGGTGGGACATGCCAGTATCGATGAGGATGGCCACAATAAGAGAATACTTCCGTGGATTTGAGAAATTTGTTGAGAGAAAATTATGGAGAAGGCAAAGAGGGAGATAGAAGAGAAGAAAAACCTCATTTCTCTCTCGTATCAATAATGTCAAAATAGAGGATAATGTTTGGAGCAAGGATTACATAGTTTTTTCTAAAACAGTAAAGGATATGGGAAATTTTGATTGACAGCCTTGAGGGTTGACCATACATTGAAGGTAACCTTATATTTCTATATATATATATATATATATCAATTAGTTTTTATATTGATTGTTAGTTATAAAATTTTTTCAAAGTTTACTCTTTCAAGCCACCTCGGTCTAGTGGTTGAGAGCTTTGACTTTCAAACAAAACAAAAGGTCTTGGGTTCGAAGTCTTGCATATGCAGGGTGCGTGCATTTATGTGTGTGGGAAAAAATTGTTTTCAAAGTTTGCTGTTGTTTTTTTCTTAAAACCCTTCTAATTGCTAGTTTAATCCAAATTCATTATTGTATTACATTTGGGTGCTATAGGTTTGTTAGGCTCTACAAAAGTGTCCAGTAGGTTGCTTTTTCCAATTCGGATGTATGTCATTGATAATTTAGTGTAACTCTTTCTAAAATGCTGTATTTAAATTATGAATAATAAGCAATAAATTTGTTTATTTATGAATTTTTGTAAAGTCACAAACAAAAAAACGTTATAAGTTTGCATTGGGCAGATTATATGGGGCCGGTTCGTGTTATTATATCCAGCCTTTTACCTAGTAATTGGGTTTTGCTTTTTTGATACTTCTTTTCGGTCTAGTATATTTAGATAATCTCACTTGCTTATTGTCATCATCAACCTCATTAACAGTTGGATTTATGAATTCAAGTTCATTCACTCCTATCAAAGGTAGCATGATGTTTTCTTCCCTCGTGCTTGCAAAGTCTTTCTAAATGACTAATAATCATATTATTTTTTTCCCCATCTTTTTCTCTTTTAAGTTTCTCACAGTTTTATGTATTCTCCTTATTAGATCACGTTCTGGTTATTTTTGTACATGCTTATGATCTTAAGTTTATTTTTCGGTACCTTATATTCAATAAATGCTCCTTCCATTATCATTTTAATATTATCATTTGTATTCTATTTTTATCTTTCCTAACATTCATTTTAGCAATCTATAGAAGTAGGGACTTGTATGAAGTAAATCTTGTTTTGATTTTTTTCATTACTATTTATGCTGAACAATATTACCTAACCGGGTAATAAGTAGGGACATGATGGCTAAAATCTTATTTCACAAGATTTTATTCAAATTACATTTTTGATTAACCCTTTTTATTTGATCAATTAAATGCTCGTTTTCTTGTTGGCATTATGTACTAATAAACTTTGACACTAATTGGATGTAGGACGATTTTTAGGGCTTATGTTTTTTAATGCAAATTAAATGATGAAATGTATGTAGATCACAGAATGAAGCTTATCATTCATAGATGAAAGACCACTAAATATATTGCTTTATTTAGGTGGTAAAAATATGATATTTAAACCCAAATAATAATACAATGATAGAATAAATCCAATAAGATCAACGAGAAAGTTGAGCCATGCAAAATCTACAAGCAACTGTAATTTATTCACTGCAATTAAAATTTTCAGTTGTATCAAATTTGAACAAATACAAGAATACTATAAAGCTAATAATTATGTATTTAATACAAATTAGGTGATGGAAAGAAATAATAAACTTAGCAAAAACTCAAGTTGCATCTTGATACAAAGATACAGCTTTTACTAGCATTAGGTAGTCACACTTGTATGACACTTGGAGAAACCACACATCCAATCTGCATATATAAGATTGAAAATGGAAGAAAATAATCACTCAATGTAAAATTATTTAATTACATGGCTCAGGTTATCTATTTATGGACTCCTCATCCTTAGATAAGTAGATACGGTTGGCATAAAATTAGTCTAGTTATGTTTCAATTTATTTAAAATTTATGTCCAATGAATATTGCAAGTCAAAATTAATCATGGGAGAAGAGACTCCGCACAAAGACCAATATGTAAGCTCAGTAATAACTAAATTGCAAAGATATGGAAACCAACCATTGATAGAAGCACAAACAACTCGGTCAAAAAATTGTAATAAATTGGCTGTCAATTTAGCAAATTCAAACAATAGAAAAAGACCATATGGAGACAATGAATGGGAGTAAGATGGAAATCTATCATTATTAGATCGAGTCTGGGGTATTTATTTCTTTCCTATTTGTTTGATTTTTTTATTTCTTTCATTTATTGTATCTTTTGTAATTGTGTTTAAATACCCCTCGTATTAATAATATGATGTTTTATGCTCTATTCTCAAAGCTAACATGGTATCAGAGCCAAGAATCTAACCCTAGCCGCAGGCTCTTCCACCAGTTTTCTGTAATGCTGGTTTTACCTATAAGCTTTCTCCAGTGGAGAATTTTTTTTCCCAACTGATTTCTCCCAGCCGCTCTCATGGATGGTATCCCGTGGAAAGCCGTCCGCTCCCATGAAATAGTTTTCCGTGGAAAGCTATCCCATAGGGTTAATCTGTCTCCTGTGAGAAAAGTACCCCTTTCCAGGCGCACCTTTGATATTATCCCGTGGAAAGCTTCCCATGGAAAGCTGTCTTGTAGGTAAATCTCCCTTTCCAGCTGTCGAATGTCCTTGCCACTGGCAAGATTGAACACAATCTCTCTATAGACCCCTGCTTGACTTGCCAACAGTCTTTTCCAGGCGCTGGAGATCTCTATCGCTGGCTTAAATTTTCTCCACCCTATCTGCTCTCTCTGGCTGGTGTTTTTAGTTTTTTTTTTTTTTTTTCAGTCGCCAGTGATTATTCTTTCTGGTTTTCAGGATTTTTGTATGTCTCGACAACCCAACATCACGTTTGACTCTGTTGGAATCATGGTGGATTTTTCCTCCTTCTATAGACCCCTGCTTGACTTGCCGACAGTCTTTTCCAGGCGCTGGAGATCTCTATCGCTCGCTTAAATTTTCTCCTCTCTGGCTGGTGTTTTTAGTTTTTTTTTTTTCAGTCGCCAGTGATTATTCTTTCTGGTTTTCAGGATTTTTGTATGTCTCGACAACCCAACATCACGTTTGACTCTGTTGGAATCATGGTGGATTTTTCCTCCACCGAGCCTTCTCCCAATGATGTACTTGAGTCTACCGGAGGGTCGACAATGATCTCAATTCCTCCACTGACCGGAGGACTGCAAAATCACTTGATTTTCCTAATCACCACCCATAAACTGAACGAATCTAATTTTCTCCAATGGTCCTAAGCCATGTCTTTATTCATCAAGGGACACAAGAATTTCGACTATCTGAAGGGAATGATTCATGAACCTCCTAAAACTCTCCTGACATATGAAACGGGGGAAGTGGAGAATTTCATGGTAATGTCGTAGCTGATTAACTACATGGATACTGTGAGTGGTCGTTTGTATATGTTCCTTCCTTCTGCCAGTGTCCTATGGACTGTAGTTCGAGACACTCTAGGATGTAGGGAACTCCATCCAACTTTATGAGATTTCCAAAAAAGATTCACGAGGAGAAGAGGACAGTGGCCCAGTATTACAATGATTCAGTGGCCTTATGAATGGAATGCAATCTCTATTACAAATACACTTGGGATTCTCTAATGAACCTCTCTCCAAAAAGTTATTGAAAAGGATCACATATTTCAATTCCTGGTTGGATTTAACAAAAACCTTGACAAAGTCCAGGATCGTATTCTTGGTCGGGACCCTCTTCCTTCCGCTCACGTTGCTTTCATCGAGATTCATCGGGAAGAGAGCATGATACTTGTCATGCTTGAGACTTCTACACTTTCAGCTGAATCATCCGCCTTGACTTCGAATAGTGCTCAACCATCGTTCGTGCTGGCTTGGACTGGTCACCCCACTTGTGATTACTATCACAAACCCAACCACACTCGGACAAATGTTGGAAACTTTATGGCAAACCGACATAGAAACCTTTGACCAAATCCTCTATTACCAAGGGGCTTACGGCGACATCATATTCTACCACGACTCAACTGACTCCTATCCAGAATATCTCTAAATTCTTCGAATCTCTAAAAAATTAAATGAAACAATTGATTAAGCTTTTTGGAGCCAATCAAGTCTTTGTGAGTCTTTCGACCTCCTACGTCTAACAAGGTACTCTTCCTATGACTCTCACGATGTATTCCTCCTCTAGTTCTTGGATTATGACTCAGGTGTCACGAATCACATGACTGGATGCTCACAAAATTCCTCGACTTACTACCATGCTCTGGGAAAAATAGTGTTAGAATTGCTGATGACTCCTGTTGTTCCATTACTAGTAAAAGGTCGGTTGTATTAACGACCAGTCTTACTCTGTAGTCTGTTTTACATGTTCCTTTATTGCAATATAAATTGTTATCTGTCAGCAAGTTGACGAATGATATTGATTACATTGAGAATTTCTCTTCAGATGATTGTGTTTTTTAGGATTGTCGTTCGGGGAAGATAATTGGAATTGCGAAGAGGGTTGTTGGACTCTACTATCAAGAGGAACACTAAGAGTGAGGACACGATACTCATGAATTATAGTTTATCTCGAGTCATTGAATGTCTCATTTTGTTGAATTGTCGTTTGAGTCATCGTGGTTTCCAATATATAAAAAAATTGTATTATTTGATGTTTTCTAATAAAAATTTTTATAAGTTCAATTGAGAGATATGTTATTTAGTGAAGCATCATCAAATCCATTACGCACCTCACATTTACACACCTTCCGCTCATTTCTCTCTCATTCACAGTGACATATGGATACCCTCTCACACTTCCAGTTATAATAACTGGTGGTTTTTGACTTTGATTGATGACCACACTTGGATGACATGTCTACATTTTAAATGACAAATCAGAGATTGTTGCCACATTCCAAAACTTCTACACATTCATTTTAACTCAATTCAAACTTCAATTCAGGTCTTTCAGACCGACAATGACCGTGAGTTTTCCAACGCTATTTTGGGTGAATTCTCGATAAATAAGGACATTCTCCACCATAGTTCATGTACAAACACTTCTCAACAAAATGGGATAGACGAGAGAAAAAAATGTCACCTCCTCGACGTTGCTCGCTCCTTTATGTTTCATTCCATGCCTCGAAACAATTTTGAAAGGATGTCATTCTAACTGATACCTATCTCATAAATATAGTTCATTTTAACATTCACAAGTTCTGAACCCCTTCAACTGTCCTGATATCATGCTTACTTGCAAGGGGGTTGCACGACCTTTGCTCGGAATACTGCCCCCACTCGGAGTAAACTTGATCTCAGATCTCAGATCCATAAAATGTCTTTCTAGGGTACTTCGTAACTCAAAAGGGGTATCAGTGTCTTGATCATATCACAAACAAAATTTTTGTGTGTTGATTTCACCTTCTTTAAATGTATTCTCTATTTTTCTAGCTCGGCCTCAAGGGAGGGGGAATTTGAGTACTTAGACATTGTCCCTTATCCTACTCTTATGGTTGTTCCCTCCATTGTTCCTACTATTGAGGAGTCTCTTGTTCCGTTGATTGCACCTTTTCCTCCTTTCGCTCTCTGTGTCTATATTCGACGCACCTATCGCAATGCTCATACTCTGAAGCCTGCTTCTTCCTTACAAGATCTTGACTCCATTTCGGGAAACATCCTTAGCATGATCCCTCCTCCGAATGAGGAGGTGAATTCTCCGAGTAAGACACACAATTAGACATAGCCTCTCTATTCTATGGCAAAATATGTCTCTTTTTCATAGTCAATCGCCGACCTACAGAGCAATTGTTACTGTTTTGACAGACCATCAGATCCCAACTACTATTGAGATGACTCTTGCTGATCTAGCCTAGAAAACTACAGTAATGGAGGAGATGAATGCCCTTCAGTGGAACCATACGTGGGACGTCGTTAACCTTCCTTGGGGTAAGAAAGTTGTAGGGTGCTGATGGATTTTCAGCGCCGAGTTCAACTCTGATGGATCATTTGAACGCAACAAGGCATGATTGGTTGTCAAATGATACTCATAGGCCTACACGGTTGACTATGAGGAGACGTTTGCTAATGTGGCTAAGTTAAACATTATTCGAGTCTTGTTGTCCCTTGCAGTGAATTTGGATTGGCCACTATTCTAGCTAGATGTTAAGAATGGATTTTTGAATGGAGAGCTTACAGAAAAGGTGTACTTATCTCCCTCCTGGATTTGACATTGTTGCCTCTAGAGGGCAAGTGTGCAGGCTACGAAAGTTTGTCGATGGGCTAAAGCAATGCCCAAGTGCTTGGTTCGACAAGTTCACAAAGGTGGTCACGCTTTTCTTCCGACATTCCTCAAATTGCTAGGTAGCTATCCTTTTTGTTTATGTTGACGATATTTTTCTTACAGGTAATGATCTCTCAGCATCGGAGTCCTTGAAAGACATTCTTGCTAAGTCATTTGAAATGAAAGACTCGAGATTTCTCCAGTACTTCTAAGGCATGGAAGTGGCTAGGTCATCATGGAGCATTTGCTTGTCTCAACGTAAATATGTGATTGATCTCTTTACGGAGAACAACATTTTTCTGTGCAAAATTGTTGTTCTTATAGATCCCAATTAAAAATTAGTTGACATTTCGAATGTTGTGTCTGTCAACAAGACTCACTATTAACGTCTTGTGGGAAAACTCATCTATCTTTCCCATACTTGCCCCAACATATGACATTTAATTGGTATAGTAAGTCAATTCATGCATGACCACTATGAGCACCACCTCCAAGTCGTCCAGCTGTTTCTCCATTATTTAAAAGGGTTCACTGGCTCAGGTTTGTTTTTTCTCTCATCACACCTCTCGGTTTATTGCTGTTTATAGAGATGTTGATTGAGTCGGATCGGTTCATGATCGACATTCCACCTTAGGGTATTGCTCATTTGTATGAGACATCTTATCATGTGGAAAAGCTAAAAACAATTTGTGGTTGTCCGTAGCAGTGTTGAAACTGAATTCCGGTCCATGTCATTTGGAATCTGTAAAGCTCTCTGGTTACGTATCATGCTCCGCGAACTTCGTATGCCCACCTCTGTCCCGCTACAGCTATTATGTGATAATAAGACAACCATCAACCACCTCTGTCCCACTACAGCTATTATGTGATAATAAGACAACCATCAACATTGCTCATAATCTAGTCCAACATGATCGTACCAAACATGTGAAGGTTGACAGACATTTCATTAAGAAAAAAAATGGAGTTTGGGGAAAATTGTGTTCCTTTTGTGCCCTTCTGTGGTCAACTAGCGGACATTCTCATCGAGAATCTTCCTCGTCCTTTGTTCGATGACTTTAAATCCAAGTTGAACATGAATGATATCTATGCTTCAACTTGAAGGGGGGTATTAGATTGAGGTCGGGGTAATCCATAGCCATTATTACTTGAAGGGGGTATTAGATTGAGGCCGAGGCAATCTCTAGCCATTATTACTTATTATCAGCTTTCCTATTTATTTTATTCTAATTTATTTCTTTCCTATTTGTTTTATTCTATTTTTATTTTTATTTTCTTTATTGTATCTATTGTGATTGATTTTAAATATCCCTCCTATCAATAATACGATGCATTCTGCTCTATTCTCAAATCTAACAATCATAGTTCAAAAAAAAAAAAGTAGGATAGTTTTGTATTGATTTGCCTGACTGGGAAAGTCGACTCTGATGAATAATTTATATGCTGTTTATTGAAGTAGGGTATGAATCATTACAATTAAGTGTGTCATACTAGTGCGCAAAATAATGTTAAAATTTGCCTTCTAAGTGGACAAAATTTCATCATTTATGATGACTTCAGGAACAAGATATAGAACTGTGTAGTAGAGCGTCGCAGGCAAATTCATGAACAGATGAAAAAAGTGAAGGATTGTAATATATATGATTATTTGTTTAGAATGATTGTAATACTTTTTAATATCAAAAGTTTGGTATAAAGTATTTGTTGAAACATTTCTTTTTTTGCAATTTTTAAATTGATCTTGCAATTAATCTCTACATTCATGAAATGATGGGTATTGTTATTTATGTATGCTTCATATCTGCTTATGATGAAATTGTAGCAACACTTATCCAAAGTAATTACCTTTCCTAAACATATTTTAACAGAACTTATTTCTATTCAAATCACCTCCAATAATCATCCCCAATTACCATGTAATTAGCATGATATGTAGTAAGATTTCATGCAAAGAAACTGGAATAGGAGGTGAAACAAGCTGTTGCATTTAAGTGTTTGATATTTAAATACATAGGAATTGGGTGGTATATATGTAAAAGCCCCTAGATTATTTCATATTGCCACTCTTTCAATAGTGTGTTATTTCATGAAGGAAGCTGGTGTAGGGCTAATGTAAACATAGCCAGGCAACTTATTCTGTTTCTGCAAATGCAGGGGCGCAAAGCCTTCTGGTGGAAGGGGCGGAGGGCGTGGCGGCGGAGGGCGCGGAGGCGGGAGAGGTGGTGGGCGCTTTGGTAGCCGTGGGAGGGGAGGTTTTCGCGGTGGAGGTCGAGGCGGACCTCCGAGAGGTGGCCGTGGCGGCGGTTTTAGAGGCCGGGGAAGATCGTAGATCGCAAAACTCATTCTTGGGGTGTCGAAAATCTGCCGCAGATAGACTCAGGAGATTCCATTTGTTGTTTATTATGTTTGTCTACGTTTTTAGACGATTTTGAAAATTTCACCTGAATTTCTTAAGGCTTTGTAAAACTCTTTTTATGCATCCCAATATGAAACTTCTGTATTGTTTTCTTATGTAGGAGCAAATCAAACAAGTCAGTTCAAAGTTATTATATCTGATTTTGAGGTGATTCATTGTATGTTTCCCAATATGAAACTTCTGTAGTGTTTTCTTGTGTAGGAGCAAATCAAACAAGTCAGTTCAGAGTTATTATATCTGATTTTGAGGTGATTCATTGTATTTATTTATTTTTGAATCTAATCTTCATGTAGATATATAAATGGATTTACATAAAATTTAATTCATAAAGTTTTATTTAGCTTCAATTTTCTATTTACATAGATACCACACAATTCTTATGTATTTATACACCGAATGCCTACTTTTATATTTACATATATAACATTAATTTTTAGTACCACATAAAAAATAACATTATTATTAACTTTAAATACATTTTTTACCATGCATAAGATCATGTTATAAATATAAATATTAAATTTCAGGCATTATGTATTTAACTACTTATAAATTTCTTACCTCAAATTTATTTAAATAATTAAAAAAAATATAACCAACCCAATTCCTATGTATTTTCATATCTAACACCTAGATTTTACTTTATATTTTTACATTTATATCACCCATAACTTTCATATCACAAAAATAACACCTTTTAACTTCAAAACATGAAATATACATTATTCATGCATAAAGTGGCACATATATAAAAATTAAAGTTTATACATGTTGATATCCACAGAAGAGCAAACCAGAACCAAAGTGATTCTATTTAATTCAGAAGAAAATAGTAAAATAATAGGGAAATTTCCATGCATGCCACACAATTTTTATGTATTTATATATCCATCACCTAAAGTTCAATATTTACATTTACAGCACTTACATGTCATAAAACCCTGCATAAAAAAGTGCTCTCTTTTAACAAGTTACATAATATTATAGATGCCAAGGCTATGCATGTAAATATGAAAATTTGAGTGTTGGATATGTAAATATATAAGAATTGTGAGGTATGTAAGTAAATGCCCAGAAATAATATTTCTTGCAATAAACAGCTATAATAATATTGATCAGAAAGCTTTATAATAAAAAGAGAACCAACTAAGAGAATCAATATATCCTTAAAATAGTAATATAATGATGCAAAACTACATGAAAAGTAAATACTTAAAAAGATTTTTCAAGTCACCCAAAATTTTAGTTTCAAGCTCCGATGGAGAGACAACATAACAATGCAGCAGAAGCAGAGCAGCAACGAGGTGGAGGATCAACGCTTCTTCGACACGCCGACAGTCTTTCCTCTCCTCCCAGTAGTCTTCGTGTGCTGCCCACGAACACGGAGCCCCCAATAATGACGCAGGCCTCGATGATTTCTGCATCATAACAGTTTATGGAGATGAGCTTTCAAACTACCTAAATTCATATGCCTTCAACAATGAAGGCTGGGGCTGGTATCCTACATGACAACAAACAAATCTAGAAAAAAAAAACAAATAATAAAAAAAAAGGAAAATTTACATACATACCAAACAATTCTTATGTATTTACACATCTAACATCCAAAGTTAAATATTTACACTTATAACATCTTGACGTCCATAAAACTGTATTTTTGATGTGATGCTAAAGATTTGAGTGGTATGAATGTTAAAATGAAAGTTTTAAGTGTTAGACATGTAAATACATAAGAATTGTGTGGTATGTATATAAATGCCCCAAAAAACTGTAGTTCTTTCCCAAAGATCTCTGTAGCCATGGCTGTGAGTTGATCATTCGATCCTTCAGCCAAATCATTAGTGTCTTAACGATATCTATGTTGACTAGATACACCAACAGTCAAATTTATTTCAAACTCAAAATAGATTAAGCCTACAGATGATCAATTGAGTTGGATATTTTTTGTGCCAAATTAATTTTTTAAGGGAAATTTACATACATACTTATGCATTTTACATATTTAACACCCAAAGTTCTATATTTACACGCATAACACATTGCTTTCATAAACCCATGCATGATGCATGTGCATTTCACTTTTAAAAAGGTAGTCAATAGTAAAACTTTTGATGTGACATTAAAGATTGGAGTGGTATGCATGTAAATATGAATGTTTAGGTCTTAGTTACGTAAATACATAAGACTTGTGTGGTATATATATATAATGCCCCTTTTTTTAACTATTTGATGTGGGACTAACAACAAGCTCGCATACCTTAACAATCCCAATCCTTATTTCCCATTAGAGCTCTCTATATTCATCATCGCTCCCACTAAAACAAAAAAATTTTAATATGAAGTATCTTGTTTTAAAAGCAACACAACATGAGAGTTGATCAGCACTCTTGTGCATTTGCTCAATCATGATAGAAGAGGCTAACACATAATTATTAATGATCAAATTTATTTTAACAACGAAGTTTAAATCTACGAGTGAGGGCCAATCAATTAGTGTTTCTACATTGATATATTTCCAGAATAAGGCATTATGATTTAGATAGTTAATACTTCTAACTTTGTTGAAATAGGGAAGAGAGCCAACGGGAGCATGCGAACAAGGAGAAATAACATAAATCTCTAAGGTTCCCCAGGTGTAAGTAATGAAAGATCCCAAGCAAATGTAACCAAATCTCTACCCAAGCATTCTCTTTTTAAATCCAATGCTAGATATTATATATAGAAATCCGTGATAAAAGAACTTTATCGCTCGATTTCAAATTTATAGAGAAGGTGCCTTTTGTTGGAGATTGCAGGATTGACACAATTTTATAGTGTAAAAAGATTGGTGACACATCAAATTCTTGCCATTCCTCTTGTACAAAATACGTTATTTCTTTTCATATGCCTTCTTCCTTCAGCTACAAAGACATCCCTTACATGTTTTTTTTTTTTTGGGCGCAATTCTACAATTAGCTTAATATATGTGATGATAAATTAGAAGGAATGCACTTTTTGAGCATCAAAATTGGCGGAAAACTAAATCCAATCTATTAATTTGGCCAAGCTAGGTTCTTTTATTGTAAAACTCAATTCCAAAGAAAATTCTTGTTTTTTCTTATGAAAGAGATAAATATCCAACTTAAAGATTCATTGTTTGGGTTAAAAGTGGGATGAGAATAAAATTTAAAAAGTCAAAATTAAGAACAAAGACATTTTGCATTGGTAAGATGAGTCGCTAAACATTGCAAAAAAAATCAACATATTAATTTAGTTTATTTTCATAATGATATAAACCATAATTTTAATCTTAAATATTTATATAATATGGAAGTTTGAAATATGATTATGACAAGTATTCACTTAAAATTTAAATATACCATGAGCAAATTCCACTTCGGCCTCATCCTTACATTCATCATTAAAAAAAATCATCATATATAATAATTTTATCATCATGTAATTTTAACTCGTTAGCATATTTCAAATCTTCTTCAATCATAACATTTTTTTTATTTCCTATATTATTAGATCCAATATAATATAGTATAAAAAATAAAATTACAATCAATTAATTATAGTTATATTATATTTTGACTTTTTCAAGGCATTGTATTAGATACATTAGATATAAATATAATATAATCTATTATAATTTTTTTTTCATATCCTATTTAAACCCCTGCCTCAAATACGTCAGGACAAAAATGATGTTAAGCATCATTGGTGAAAATCAGGCTTAAACATTGAAGCATTTTTTATGTGCCAAAGTTCGAGATGAATGCCTTGAATGCCTTTCTAAACAAGACATGAAGGTATTGATAATGTTAGCATCTAAAAATAACCCAAAGTTCAAGTTGCCCTTACATGGATTGCAATTTCCATTCTGAAAGCGGTCAGTCCTAAATTCGAGAATTTGAATTGCATGGGCTTTCTAAAAACAATCTCCGTGAAGCATTGGTGTAGATTAAAGTTGGACATCTTAAATCCTGCCATGAATGTCTTTTGATCCAGCCCCATGAGTTTATCCATACGACATACAAAAATCTTAAGATTTTCCATTTTTCTAGTAGTTCTGCTGTTTTAAGACTACCATCTCATTGCGTTTCTGATGAGCTATCTGATTCTCAGATTCTGGAGCTTGAAGGTAATGTCAAAGTTGTCAAGTAGGATTCAAGATCCAATTATTGTGGAAAAATAAATTCTATCAATAATCAGAAAGTCTTGCCTCATAGAAATACAAATTCGAATTTGGAAACAGTTGACTTTGACAACAATGTACATTGGCACTTTCTGTGAAAGGCTCGAATGTTTCAGAAGGGGTAAATATTGATGAGAAGCTAGTGATTTCTAAAGAGAAAACTATTGCTTATTATAGAGAAACTGACAACTCAAACACTTCTCCATCGAATCGATCATCTCCAAGTGTAACCAAAAAGGCATTCCAAAGATGCATTCTACTAATTTGGCATGGGATTTTAATATAGAAGCAAAGAAAATCAGTGTTGTGAGAAATCTACTCGGATTGAAATCAAAGGAGACAGATTTAGGCCCACTCATATGGGATTTCTCTAGCTATCTTGAATTTTCTTCTAAGGAATTAATCACCATAATGACTTGCGTCCGCACTTTTCGTTTTGCTAGAACCGGAAACCATGAATTGATAAGGTATCATTATGATGTCGTTTGATGGCCATTCTGTTATTAATGAGGGAAAAATCATCCAAGTTCCTTCCAAACAAGTGAAACCCTTTCATTCTAATTTCTCCATCATCCCATCCTTATGACTTCAAACACAAACTTGTCAAATTTTATGCTACGAAAAAAATATTCATTCCCAAGCTTTCGAAAGGCTTATCAAGAAAAAATAAAACTGTTTACATCAGTCAAAATAAGTATATTCAAAACATATGAACAGTTCTGATATTTCTTTTCCTCTTCTGTTCTCACTTGGAAGGCTGAATTTGTGATAATTTAGGGCTGAAGAATTCAGGATTTCTCTCCCAGTTTAGGCTTTGTTTTATTTTCCCTCAGTTAAGCTAAGATTTTTTCCTGTTATGAACATAGGAACATGGAGTGTTCTAGCTTTAGGCTCGGTGGTTAAATGTAGAATTGTTAAAAACTATGGAGAAACTGCGATTTCATATTATCTGCCTTCGAGAAATTAAGTTGACGAATCCTTATTTGGGCCTTCCTAGATGTATTTATAAATTGTAAACAAAGAATGAGCTTATCTTAAATGCTGAATGCATGGCCGGAAGCATTTTTAATATGGTTGGAATCCTAACTCAGTCGAATCTCTTTCTTCTACTATCATTAGATTCTTGATTACTCTTTCTTTCAAAAAAATTCACACACGAATCAGGACTTTGATTGGACCTCTGTTTATGCCCTTTCTAATGAGAGGATGACAGAGATGCAATTCTGATGGATTACAAGGTATTGGTTCTAAATAGTTCTCAAAATGAATACTCTGATGAGATTTCAATGATACCATTGCTTCGAAATATCTTTTAAAAATTGCAGATAACCTTAAATTTTTTTCATTGAATTTATCAAATTCCTTTATTTGATTGAACTTTTCTCTATTGGAATGCAGATTAACCAAGTCTCAACAACAAAGTCTTAAATTTTTGCTGAATTCAATAAATTTTTCTCTACCAACTGTGAAGTTTGCATCCCAATGGTGGCCAAGAGCTTTAAATAGACCTTTTTACCGATTAAAGCCCAATCATTTTATAATCTGACCTCATTCCTCTTATTAAATCAAGTTAATTATGGTACAGGAATTACAGGTTTTATACATATGGCTTGAAAAACATAATTTCTCCTTGTTGTAAAGGGTTTATTATTCAAAATAATGGTAATAAACTTGATTTGAAGTTGAAACCAAAATTTTTAGAGGTATTAAAGGTATACACCCTTTTTTTTCTTAACACCTCTTGATGATATTACTTTTTGTCACATCTCAATTGACCTCCTCTCTAGGATCAAGAAATGTTGTAGCAAATTTTGACAAATTAATCAGACTAAATTCAAACCAACACTCGTTCTAGCGCGCCCAAATCGAGATCAAACGGGGGAATGATTGGTCTTACTCAACCGTCGCAAACATACATATTTTCACAATCATAAAACTTATCAAAACAAACATGAAAGAAAGCAGAAAAAAATCTCAAACATATACAAAACTATTAACTACTTAAATATAAATCTTATGTACCCAAAAAGTTTTTAAAATCGTCCAAAATTTGAAAGTTGTACAAAGTCAAACCACTTGATTAACTATCCAACTACCCTTACCCCTCCCTAAAAGATAACATAGTATAAGATAAGTTAAAGGCAAAGTGAAATAATCAAGGTTTAAATTAGATTCAATACAACAATAATAATAATAAGCCTAACCGGATAATCAAATGGTTGATGTTTAATTTATATCAAATGGGGTTGGGGTGTCATCTTTTCATTTAATTATAATAAATTAAAATCATTATTATACAACATGCCACAGTCTTTTTAGGTCTACATCTACCTTTCTTAACATAAGTTGAATCTAAAATCTCTACTCTGCTAACCGAATAATCAAATGGTTGACATTTGATGTGACTAGATCATCTAAAACAGTTCTCTCTACCCTTGTTTGCCCCAGAAGCTTCATCAACTCTTTCACGGATACAATCGTTTTGCATTTTGTCTCTAAGTATCAAACCACTCATCCACCTAAGCATTCTCATCTCAGGAACACTTAACTTAGTTTTATGTTTCACTTTTATAGGCCAACACTCTACATCGTAAAACATTGCAAATCTCACCACCATCTTATAAAATTTTCCTTTAAATCTAAGCGGTACTTTTCTCATCTCAGGAACACTCAACTTCAACCATCCAAGATGAATTCTACTAATAACATCCCCCTCTATATCACCATTACTTTGAACAATGACCCAAGATATCTAAAGCGTTCACTCATTTTAATGATTTAATCACTCATTTTAATGATTTGATCACCTGTTGTTAAAACACTGTTAATAGATCTACTACTATCATTTCAAGTATTTAGTTTAGATCTACTCAAACGAAGGCCTTTTGACTCTAAAGTAGATATTCATAATTCAAGTTTTTTTTCTGAACTCTTTGTCTAGTCTTATCCACAACAAGAATACATCAACAAAAATCATACACCAAGGTACATCCTCCTGTAAATATCCAGTAAGAGAATCCATAAATAAAGCGAAAGGATGCGAGCTTAAAGTCAATCCATGATGTTATCCAACTGAAATAGGAAAAAACTTGGTCAATAATCCTCCTTCTATTCGAACAAGTAACAGTTCTAGTATACATATCTTTAATAACTTGAATATAAGTTATATCAACTTATTTCTTTTGTAGAACTCTCCAAAGAACTTCTTTCATAACCTTATCATAGGCTTTTTCTAAATCAATAAAAAACATATGTATATGATTCTTACTCGCTCCGTACTTCTCCATCAAATCTCTCAATAAATATATAACTTCCATAAGTATAAATCCAAACTAATAATGAGAAATCTTTGTATCACATCTTAACCTATATTCAGTTACTCTCTCCCATAATTTTAATATATGACACATTAACTTGTATCGTGTATAATTTGCACACCCTTGTGTATCCCCTTTATTCTTAAAAATGGGGACCAAAATACTCTTCATCCACTCAAACACCTTTTTAGTTTTTAAAATAATATATAAAAGTTTGGTAAATCAAAAAACTCTCAAATCTCCTAAATATTTCCAGAGTTCTATCGGGATAACATTTAGCTGTAATGATTTTCCACCTTTTTTTCCTTCAAAACTTTATCAAAGTTATTTTCATTAATGCGACAATAAAAATAAATTAATGATATAGAGATCACTAAAGTTGGTCGTATTTTCAAAAAATTCATTGAAAAGTTTATCAAAATATCTAACTCACCTATGTTGAAAATTTTACTCTAAGAAAAATACTTTTTTATTTCATATTTGATACACTTGAATTAAATCTTTATTTTTTTTCCATTTGTTTGGTTAGTTTATACATATATCTTTCACCCCATTTAGTATCTAATTTGTTATAAATATCAATAAAAATAAAATTATTAGCATTACAAATTGTTCACTTACTCCTAACGGGCCACCATATATTTTCTCAGTTCTCTGAGCTGTTACATTTAAACTAAATTTTTATAATAAAACTCTTATATTTTAACTTTACTTGCAAGTTATTATTCTACCATATACTATTTTTATTTATAAAAATTTTTCCTTTTGATTCTCCAAGTCCAACATTTCCTACTTTTGATAAATTTAAATTGAAAATGCCAAAAAATTCCTATGAATATTCCTAACCAAATAAGTATATTGCAGTTTCAATATAATTTGTATAAGCAATTGCAGTTCGCATGCTCATAAAAATTTATCCAGATACCACGAGGTCAAAGTGGGTAAATAAATAATTCCTTAGGTCACCTTAACAAACCTAAACAACAACAATTACAAGCTTTTATCCTGCCAAGTGGGATTGGCTACACGAATCCTTTTTCTCCATTGTGTCCTATTGAGTGTCATATTTTCATTTAATGCTAATAGATAAAATAATAAAAGTCCACATACGTGGAAGAATACATGCAAATAGAACATAATTTATGACAAATCATTATGTAAACGTTTTAAAAACCGATAGTGAATGCAAATCATTTTCTCTAAATGAAAGTAAACTAGTTGGTACGACACTAAGAACATAGAATAATGAAATTAAAGATAGCGAATATGAAACACTCCCTAGCATATCTAAACATGTTCGGAGTAAGGTTTGCTAAGGAATTAACAAAATCATTAAAAAATGATGCACCTGATCTTCTTCAATCTTTCGAGATCATCTCTCAGTTTCATGTCCAATGCATTTGAAACCACTTGTGAGTACCGACCATCCTTGTAATCCTTCTTTCTATTTAAAAACCAATCTGGGATTTTGAATTGGCGTGGATTTGCAACTACAGTCATGAGATTCTCAAGTTCAGCAGCAGACAGTTCACCAGCTCTGCAACACACAAAAATAACAACTTCCGACTCTAAAAACCACTTTGAATGAATAAATATTACAATAAAACAAGGTTCTTCTAAAAAAAAGAAACTGGTAAGGTGGAGCAAATGATAAAAATAGAGTTCATATGTATTCGAGCCAGTTTTGGATTTGCAATAAAAAAGAAATGTAAAACTATGATACCTAATTACATTTTTATTTATCGATCAATCAACTAGAGCAGCAATATGTCACTCTTATAAATTCATCAAATTTACGCTAAATATAAATACAAGCGAATCACAGAAGATCGACAAACTCTTGTGAATAATAAATATAGGGGAATTTATAAACACAACACATAATTCTTATGTATCTACTTATTCACTGATATAACAAGTAAATCCGAGCAGAATAGGCATCAGCAAGAAGTCCAAAACCAAAAAAACCCTTCGCCCTATAACTGATAATGGGATAGGGAAACGAAAAAACATTTGGAACATAAATTACAAGAAAGGCGACAGAAGCATCTAAATCTCCAAATTAAAGTTTAAAACAATACAAGAAAATACCTCAAGTCAAGCTGTAGTGCCTAATCGGAACAGTCATTACCCCAACAATGCAAGAAATCATACCTCTTGTTCATGTCGACATCGGCCTTCTTGCAGACGATGTTGGCAAAACGGCGACCGATACCCTTGATGGAGGTGAGAGCAAACATGATCTTCTTCTTCCCATCCACGTTCGTGTTCAGCACACGAAGGATGTGCTGGAAATCCTCGTTCGCGATTAGAGACTGCACAAACCGATCGAACCAAAAAAAAAAAAAAAAACATAAGAGAAGCGATTTCAAAATTTTTATTGAAGAGAATAGAGCTCCGACGAAATCCAACCATTTTTTCTCTGCTTCAAAAATTTTCCAAATGCTAGGGTTTCCACTCCCCTCCGCCGTCAGCTCCACGAAGATAGTAACAAAAAAATGAGAATAGAAGCCCTAGGCCATCAAAGTGCCCACTAGTTTCGGCCCTCCTAAAGTCGGCCCAATTAATGTTAAGTAGAATGATCAATTAATTAGGATTTTTTTTTCATTTTAACTTTAAGAGATAATCCACACATAATTAAAAAAATTAAATATGAATCAAATACATAATGTGTATGGATATAAATGAGCTATTGCATTTATGCATCAAGTCATTTCTTTAGTTCAATGAATTAGTTTATTAGTTTTTATTTTTTTATTTAATTATAAAAATACTTTTTTTCTAACTTATATATTATCTTATTTAATTAATACAAAATTGTTATATATCAGTTGAAAATATATTTAATTTCTTATTATTTTAGATTTATTTAATTTTTTTTGTTAGTAACTGTACATGAAAAGTTATGCAGTCATCTGTTTTTTTGCTTATTAATTAATTTATTGAAATATTAATTCATTTAATACAAAAAGATCAAATTTAAAGAAATATTATCATTAAGAATTTTAAAAAAAGCCAAAGTATGAACATACATATGATTATTTAGTTTAAGCTTAAGTCGTATATTAACAACATATGATTTGACTAAGCTAAAATCCAATATACTTCATATTGTGAATGGTGATATGACATTCCTCTCCAAGATAAAGAGGGAACTAAGGGTTTGTTTGGGGCACCTAGTTGTAGCTGTTTGAGGAAGCAACTGTGAAGTTATTGCAGAAGAAACTGTTTTTTCCAAAAATTATGGTGACTATTAAAAATTTATTTTATTTTTAAAAAGTCAGATCGTATCTTTCTGGCAGCCACCACACAATGCTCGTGTTGAAAAACTAGTGTTTTATCACATAAATTTCTAACAAGCAACAAGAAAGTAATTCCTCAAACAAAATTGTGTTGACAATTTAAAAATAAGCAGACAAAAAACTATTTTAAACAAACCCTAAATGATCAAAAGTTGATATGCAATTAAGCATATGATATTGCTTTTTTTTTTTGCATAAAGTTAAATTTATATGACATGAGAATTGCAATAAATAGCTTAAACATAATATCTCTCTTTAGGGGTATAAACGAGCCATGCCGACTCATAGGTCGGCTCGAAAATGTCCATTTAACTAAACTAGATGAGCTGACGAGCCAAGCTGAAGCTAACCCCAACTCAACTCATTAGCTCGTGAGCCGGCTCTTTTAAGAAAATATTAACATAAAATATACTTAAAATATATTAAAGTTCCAAGATTTTATATTTAAATTATTAAAAATATTTAAAAAAATAATATTTTATATATTTTTCTAAGTAATTTCTTATTATTTATTTATTATTAGATTAAAACACTATCTTACATTAATATTATTTTCTTTCTTTTATAATAAAGAAATCGGCTCGTGAGTCAGCTCGTACTCGAAGACATCAACTTGGGCTCGAGCTCGAACTTGATTAATCAACTCAATTCATTTACACCCATATCTGTGTTATACAATGACAGTCAGAGAGAATGTAATATAGCATCTCAAGCAAACATATTGGAAGACGGTAATGAAGGATAGATTTGTAATACTGTAAACATTACACTAAAATGTCCCTTGCATCAACGGATGTTAACGTTTAAATTTCAAATCATAAGCTTTTTGTTCAAGCATTTCTATAATATGATTTAGGAGTTGGAAATAATGGTATGTTTTGTGTGATTTATACATCTAGCACATAAATTTTAAAATTTACATTTATACCACTCTATATATGCATAAAAAAATGTATTTTATTTTTAAATATATGTTATATTGATATTTTTTATGCGATATGAATATGTTATATTGATATAGTGTTATATTTGATATAAAAAACATTTGGAACATAAATTA